CCTAACCAATATCTATCTAACTAAAAATACCTAACAAAAGTTTGGTGGCAGTTGCTTCAATGGTTGTTGAGATATTTTAGTTAGGACCAAAATGTTGGGCTGACTGGCATTTCCTTGTCTAGACCCTAGCATGGCTAAAAGAATTAGTAGAAGTAGTTTTGAGAATAGATTATTTGGTCTCAGAGTCTGTTGAATCTAGATGTTTTGCTAACTGGGAACCAGTTTAGAAATTAGACAGAAAATCATAATCGTCTCTGAGGTGTGAGTCCCTAGCTCTGCTGCCCTAAAGGATAAAATTACTTTGCAAGTGGTCAAGATCCTGTTTACAGTATGTACCAGTTGAGATGACTGCAAGCCAGGTCTGGTAAACACCTTCACTTCAGGAACTATATATTTTCTTCTGTTTTTAAATGTATTTTATTAATTGTTATGTACTGATATAAAACACCCACCCAACTCATTTCTTTGTGATTTTCTAATGAAATAATTGTGTTTTATTTTTTCCCTGACCTGTCACAAAGATTCAAGATTCAAAGCATTTATTATCATATGTACAGTAAGGAAACACGTTTCCCTGCACAACGAAATTCTTACTTTGCTATCCACAATGAATGCCGAACAATATAAGTCTAAAATAGTAGATAAATAGTAGTATTTACAATATCAAAACATAAATAACAGCTGTGAAAAGGAAAAATAAAACTATAATAAGAATAATATGTGCAACAGCCAGCAGTGAATGTGCAACTGAGCATGTAAACAATACAGGTGAAATTACATGAAGTAGTTCTTGATTATAGACTCCTGCCAGCTGTTTAGGAGTCAGATGGCAGTTGGAAAGAAAGAGTTTTTCAGTCTAGAAGTCCTGCATCTCACACTTCTGAACTTCCGGCTAGAGGGTAGGGAGGCGAACAGTCCATGCTGGGGGTGTGTTGGATCTTTGAGGATGGAGGCAGCTTTCCTACAGACCCTGTGGTGGTAAATGCTCTGCAGAGAGGGCAGTGGAGTCCTAGTGATCTTCTCCACAGTCTTTACCACTCTCTGCAGGCGCTTGCGGCCCATAGCAGTAGTGCTGCCATACCAGACAGTGATGCAGCTGGTCAAGATGCTCTCAATGATGCAGGTGTAGAAGTTGCTGAGGATCCTAGGTGACATGCCAAACCTCCTCAGCCTCCTCAGGAAGTACAGCTGTCGTTGGGCCTTCTTGACCAGCTGTGTGGTGTTAAGTGTCCAAGTGAGGTCCTCACTGATGTAGATGTCCAGGTATTTGAAGCTGCTCACCCTCTCCACTTCGAGCCCCCGCATGAACAGTGGCTGATGAGATCTCCTCTCCTTCCTCATGTCCACTATCATGTCCTTTGTCTTGTCCGTGTTGAGGGTGAGATTATTGTCCTCGCACCATGACACCAGACCGGCCACAATCAGCTGCTCCTGTGTCTTACATGTTGTTAGTTCATGTTCTGTGGAAGTAAACTCTTAGTAGTAACCCTGTTTAGCACCTACAGTATATGCAGTCATTTTGTGGTAGAAGAGATTAGTGTGATTTCCTTATTTCTTACACTGAGAGAGCAGCATAGACTAGGTATAACATATTTTCATGTCTTTTATTCTTTTACCTTAACATGTTATCTAGTAGACTTTTACACATTTAAAGACACAGTGGCCCCAGATACATATATTTCTATAGGAGGCCCATTGTAATATGTTTGCCCTGTTTTAAGCAAAAGTTGTTGCATTTGTTTTTGCAGAGAAACTATCATGTTGTAAGTAGCAAATATCCCTCATATACAATATATATATACAGTATATGTTCTGTTAGCTTCATAGTTTATATCTGAGGTAAACTGGGAGAACTGTGATAACCATTAGGTATAAACCTTTCTCTCGTGGGCATAAATGAGATATGAATGAGATTATTTGTCCTTTGAGAGAAGTTTGAGTGCTTGCCAAATCACTGTGTATGACATTCTGGGGTACAATTAAACCCTAAAAAAAATCACTGAGTTCCAAAATGAGCGTTTTACAATATGCACTCATTGGCCACTTTATTAGGTCCATGTCAAAGGTGTTCCTAATATTCTGACCCTCTCATGAATGTAACCGGGGAGGACAAAAATATGGCCCATGAGTGTATGTGTCACAGAAATAAGCAGTGGGTCAAAACAACAGGTTGGTGAGATGGGACTCTGTATTATTGGGAAACTGTCTTACAAGAAATGAAATGAAGATCTCCTGCATCTTTGTTTATATTGAAACTCGCACTGCAACATTCAAGTCACAACCATCCAGCTGGGCAGACTAACGTCCACCTGAAATGACAAGAAATCGCTGCTGCCTTGTGTCTCATGATGGTGGAAAGTGTGTTTATTATCCAGAAGGAATGGTGCCTGAATCCTGTGCCTGTGAGTTTATACTACAGGAGTAGTCAACCATACACTGTAGCAGTCTGCCTGTGAAAACTGTAAGCGACATCAGTGATCAGCAAATAGCACAGAATTTTTATCATCACTAGCAACTTCAATCATAAAAATTTTAAAAACTGCTTTGCAGAAATTGTACCAGCATGTCAACTTTGCAACAGGAGAAGAAAATACACCGAGGTTTGTTTACATCTAAGTTGTTGGTACTAGAGTGCTCACTTTTACCTTCAAGACTGTGTGCTGCTTACATGTCTGTTCCATGTTCCAATGAGGTTCAAGAGAAATGATATTTTGTTTCCCTGTATGTAAAAACAAACACTGGAAACAGCAATAAACCTAAACTAGAACCAGGCTGCAACAAACACAAACATATTGAGCTGGGCGATAATACAGGCAATAAACCATGCACAGTGGAAGAGGGTCTGGCCAGACAAGTTTTTCAATGCAGGTTTTTGTTAAACTATTTCCCATAACTATGGTCACTTTTTAAGGAAACCCTAGACAAAAGAATCAGCATGGAGTGTGTCACAGGTAGTCATAACATTTCTACTTGAAAAGAGGTGGACCTGCTGGACTGCAGTGCATGTCCCAGACAGTCTTTGCAACTAAGACTAAGATTCTTTTGTCTCAGCTTGAGAAAGTGATCAGTGAAATTACTTCATCAGATCAAACAGGCTTTATGCCAGGTTGGCAGTCATTTCACAATATGCAGTTTAATGTTGGTTTAATGTTCTGTTCTGTTTAATGTACTTCATACTTTCCACTCAACATGACAAACAAAAGATGTGAAAAAAGTGATTTGTTTGAATAGGAATACCTATTCATAATACTCTTCTCCTCTTCTGTTTATGGTTGGGTGCTTATCCTTCTTCTGTCCCTTTCCACATCCTTTCCCCTCTGATATTCTTTTGTTCAGTTTTCATTTTTTCCTTGCATTTTTGCTTTTCTGACAGTGGAAGCATGGATATAGCTGAGGTTGTCAGGGCCGCTCGGCGGCCGCTGCCTCTCCTCCGTGTTTTTCTTCTTTCTCTCCTCTGCTCTCTCTATCCTGTGGGCTCTGCACCTCAGCTGTGTTGCATTCCAGTAATTAGCAACTGGTTGGTCGATGCACACAGCTGGGGTGCATCCCAATGATTGCCTTCTCCTCCTTATTTATAACGCTGACAGACGCTCAAGTTTTGCCGGAACATTAACATAGTAACGTGGACTGTACATGTTGGTAGAATGCTACGCTGACAGACACTGTGCGTTTTGGCTTGACTCTACCACACTACCTACGAGCTATGCTCATTTACACTACACTACATATCATACATATCCAAGTACCGTACTTTCCCATGTTATGTTCTTTTGATACTTTGTGTTCACTTTATTTACCTGCTACCGCCATGTTTTTCCCCCTAGCACCTGGGTCTGCAAACTTGAGTCCAACCTCAGTCCTCCCTCACCCTCCTGGTGAGGGGGGCTACCATAACAGAGGTGGGACAAGGAAGAAATCAAAAGATAAAAAATACTAAAGAAATCAAGTACAAAACAAAATTGCTGACCTGTGATTGGCTGAGACTCCTGTTAAATTTTTTAAACATGCCTTAAATCAAACCTTATTTCAGGCTTTTGTGTAACAGTGATTTTGAAAATCACCACCAACAATTCTGTTGTGATAAAAAAAAAAAGAAAGATTGAAACAGGGATTTTTTTGAATAGTCTTCTTTGGAGGTCAGCACCAAATGTCATATTAGAGTAAAGCTACAGAACAGAATTTGCAATATAATTTATATAAAATATAATTTATTAGGATATATTGGTCAATAATAGCAACTTTAATTTGTTTAGGTTTTATTGTTTTAGCATGGTTTATATCTGGTATATTTGTTTTATTGTGCAGCACTCTGGGCTCCTTAGAGTTGTAGAGTGCTATATAAATAAAGTTTATTATTATTATTATTACTAAAATATAAACAATCTTGAGAAGGATCCTTTAGAATGCCAGTTTGCTTTATAGTTGTGACACAGATACACACTGAGTAGGGCACGTTAAAGTCCACTTTAAACACTTTGCAATGTGACACTGTCTCTAAATGGCTTCAAACCTAGTTTGGTGTTTTTATATTTCAGTTTCTTGTTATTTATAGGCCAACTGAATCTGATATGCATAGCTACATTAAACTAATACCAGCTGATATATGGGTCTACCTCTAGGATAAGGTTTCACACTGAGGCCTTTAAATGACCTTTTAACTTGTGCCGACTTAGGACAGGAATGACATCACTGCCTCCATGCCCCTGTATGTGTGTCCTCATGTGTGTGGGCAGGTATGCCAAACAATATTAGGAAATGTTTATAAGACATTATTTTACAGTATCATTAGCAATTGAAAACACAAGTTACCTGTCAAAAATTCCTCCATTTTTTGTATTTCACCTTATAATTTGCCCAATATATTGTAATGTAGCCAACAAAATCTCTTTTCGCTTCCCAGGTGATAACTGAACGTAGCCATGGTGACAATCATCGGACTCTCCATGAGCTTCAAC